GGCGAGCAAGCTGTGGGCAAGTGGACTGACCTGAAGCTTGGAGATCAGCCCACTGGGTTGTCTGCCTTTTGCTTTTGCCTTGCCAGAGGGATGGCCATTCCGTCTAGCTCTTCACCCTGCCTCTCGCGCCCTGCCTTCCCCTTCCCATCAGCCCACCTAAACCTATTGATTGGTTTCTCTCTCCTCGCCCTGTGAATTAATTCACTTTGCCTATGCCTCTTTTCAGGCAGACACAGAGACCCAGCAAGTTTACCTCTTGATGGAGTTATGCGCTCAGAGGAAAATCCATACTTTCCTTGTACCCAGGCCATTCAAATTTTTTGTCTAGGCTGCTTAATCTCGTCATCCAATCTTGGCAATTTTGTTAATCACTCCCTTGTCTATTTACAAGTTAATTGGATCAATTTCCCTTATGTCAGTTTAACCGATCAGTCGTGACACTGGCCTTCAATTGATCGTTTTAATCTGACTTTCGGTTTCTATTCCTCTATTCCTTTTTCTACTTAGCTCCCCATAGATAATATTTTTTCGGCTCCTATACTACTTAGGCTGACGCTCATTACCTCATGTTTCCCTCTTCTATTCAATCCTGTATAAACTTAAAATATTTCGTGTAATTTCAGAATCAGTATACTTCTTCCTTATTAAAGGCTGAAATGCCTAAAATTCATTCATGTTTGGGCCTAATTTGGCCTTATATTTCGATGTCACTCTCGACAAGTGTTGATTATTGGCATTCATGCACATTTCATCCATTAATTTATCCTTGATTTTGCCTTTATCTAAATTTGCTAAGTTATATTTTCACTTATCTCATTCGATAAATTGAGAAAATTAATTTTTCACACCACAGTACAATATAGAATTCAGTTAAGCAAGCTCCAAGCTGTTTTTGTCTACTGATTTCTACGGTTTTAGTTACCTCCGTACTTACATATGCTGTAGAGTTTAGAGGGTTCATTTAATTTGTCATAAATGGAATCTTCATCTCCCGCTCCCCATATTTTGCCACATTTCTATCCATTGGATGAGATCATTGGCTAGCTCTATATTGCCAACGATTTTTATCTAGACTTTTGCACTTTTTTCATTTAAAATACAGGATTAAAATGTATTAGGATTCGCATGTTTTGCCCCTACATCAGTATTCATAACATATTTATTATATAGTTTTTCACCAATGTTCGACCTTTATTAAACATTAATTTATGCCAATGTTGCTGTGCTTGATGATCTGTGATTTCCACTTTTAGGCAAATATTGATGAATTTCTCTATTGCTTAATAATAATTCTTATTTAATGGAGGCAGATTGATAGATAGAAAACCAATCTTAGGCTGATTTTCTTATGACTAGCCAGTCATATTTATTAGAATTATGTCACAACCGGTGCCAACTCTGAATTTCCTTCCTCAATCCAATTGAATAGCTTAGTCCTGCATCAAAATACCCAATCGTGGATTTATTATATATTGTTATTTTTTGTTCAAACACTGACGCAACGTATATCTATAGCCGAGTCGACCAGGAAGTGCTAAAGAATCTGGAGGACTATCTGCTGCCACGGTTGCTTCACCTCCTGCTGGGAATAGCAGCAGCTATGCCGGAAGTGGTTCGTCCATCAATCTCGGACAACAACCGCCGACTCCCACTTCGACCCCAGGTCTCATCATCTCGTCCTCCCCCACTCCTGTCTCTACTGTGACTTCACTTTCAGCGTCGAGTCTTCCTGGTAACATAGCCGCATCTACTGCAGCTGTGACGACATCTAGTAGTTCGGGGATGACAGCCGTATCTTTGCCGCAGCCTCATTCGCAACAACCTACTCCCCTGTACTCAGGTGGCGTGTCAACAGGTAGGCAAGCCTCTAGGTCCTTAAGTATTTGACTCCTACAGTCATGCCTTTTTACCGTTGCACTTAAATGAATCATATTTGCTGCATATTTTCATCTGAAATGGAACGCTTTGCAGTTTTATCTTCAAAATGACTCGACACCATTTCAAAATCCGTCTTTATATCTTTATTGTATGGCGCATTTATCTTGCCAGCTCAGCTACTATTCCTCATTTTCAGAGCTAGGACTAGATCGGCAATTAAAAATTTAATACATTTAATGATAAAATTAAGTGTAGGTTCTCTACTGCTTTATCCTTTTTAAGCCACACTCAATTCACGATCTCTATCTATGCGTCAAAGTTGCGAAAACGAGATTGAACCATATCTATTCAGCTTAAGGGTGCCAGGCAATCTTAGTCTTATCTGAATATTATAAAAATAAAATGAATTTTCCAGAGCTCTGTTCGAAATTCGTATTGGATTTTCTCATAGAAATATGACACTAGTTGAAGCCCTGAGCCCAAATATTTTTTTCCTCTTACACCCATTAAAAATATATATTAGTAACAAACAGGATTTATTTGTTCTATTGGTTCTTTGTAATGGTCCTTTTTTGTTTTATTTGTTTTATAATTTTTTTTTGCATCTGAAACTATTCAGTTGTAATTTACATATACAATAATTGTTTTAAAATCGGCTCTCGTTTTCAGTTTATAATTTTCACTTAAAGCCATACATAATTTAAGTTATACTTATTAGTACGACAGAAAGATTTATTCAATCAATTTTCCATCCTTTTAAATGTATTGCTTTCTCTCTGACATTTTAATAGTTTGGAAAATGTTTCTGAAATATTTAAGAGCATCTTGGATTTTGGAATTATTCGACTTGGTCTCCTTCAAAGAATTCCAGACAAAGGATTATATTTTTTCACTGTCAAACTTTCTATGTGGTTTAAAATTGCAAAAGAGTGGTGGCTCTAGCACTCGCTCTTATTATTTGACAGTGAACTTTTATAAAATATACTTAGGCTCAAATATGAAAGTGTTGTCAGTATGTTTAGTTACTTTTACTCGAGGATATGAAGACCAAGATGGTATGGCCCTCAGTATGGTCGCAGACTCCTTTCCATTTATAGAAGCTGGTTGACTTTATTTTCGCAACTTGATCTTATCAGGACGATTTAGTTGGACGCACCTTGTCCGATGTCATCTGCCATAGTAGTTATCATAATTCTCGAGGTCAGACAATGTACCAAGTCCACGGTTTACGCTGGGAATTATAATAACTATTATTGCAAAGGACTTCGAACAAGTCGCCCTGACAACAATACCAAGTTGTGAACACGAGATTAACCCACTTCGTTTAAGTACTATTAATTTATGTATTTTTGGCCATTTTCAACAACTGACATTTCACTCATCTTCAACTCAGGTGGCTCCTATGGCCGTGTGTCTTCAGGTGGTGGGGCTCCACGGCATTCCTCGGGCTCTGTGTCCACTATGATGACAGGCAACCGCTACTCTGGTCAGCCGACTCCGGCTTACAATTCCGGTCCCATGGGCTATTATGGGCCTCAAACGGGGCCTCCTATTGGACCTCCACCGAGCTCATCAACATCAACGCAACCACAAGGGTCTTTGTTGCATCATCCTCACCATACTGCTTCTATTACTGGAGGAGGCAAGCCGTCTGGCATGATGATGGTGTCCCCAGGAACAGACAGTGGTGGCGCTGGTCCCAATTGTGGTGCCCCTACACCAACTCTTCGGCATCCTGGTTTGTCGCAAACTACTATGCCAAGTGGGGCCTTTGGTGTTCGCTCTGGGAGTGCTTCTGTAGGCTCCGTCTCTTCCTCCTACCAAGGCATCGCTGGAGGCCTTATGCCACCTCCTCCACCCCCTACAAATGGGACTGGACAAAGCCCACAAATCCAGCATCCGGGCTATGGACCTCAAGGCCACCCTCAGTCCCCATATGGCATGCTGCCAATATTGTCACAACAGCAACAATCTGCCCTAAATCAGACACCCGATGGAGTGGTTATCCAAGCTAATCAACAGCAACAACAGCATTGTGGTATGCTTTTATTTGTACTTATCTAAGTGAATTGTTCCCTCATGTTCAAGCATTCATTCACTCATCAGGAATGTGTAATTATCTTGGTTGCAGGTGTAATTAAAATGAAATTCGTGGAATTTCAGTATGTAATGATTTTGGATCATGATCCATAATGACCACACATTACAGCACTATTTACTATATATATATGTGTGTGTGTGTATTTAGCTGCAAAACACTGGATTCGTGTCTTATGGTTTCTTTTTTTATAGAATACTTTCTTAAAAGATCATTCTTTATAGGATTAAAATGAGTTGAAGCAAAGCCTATATGTTGCAATATTCATCGAGAATGAAGTGTTCAATTTTTTTCAGTATTCATTCAAATACTTTACACCGACCCATGGTGCTGCTAATAGTGGAAGTAGCAGTATCAGGTCCTTATTTGCTCTATAAACACATTAGAGCCCTCAGATATTATATATTATGGCATATGCTTAGTGTATGTTTGTTTTTATTTCTCTTTTACAAAATAATTACTAAACTTAATTTATATAGGCTGATTTAGAATCAAGAATTGTCTAACTTTGCAAACTCCAAATGATCAGTATTGTTTCTAGAAAAATATGTCTTGGTAGTCTGTTAGTATCAACCTTTTGTCCTTTTCAAATGAGTTTTAAGGCTGCTTCTGCTTTAATTTTCCTAGTATCAATCCACAATTTTCAAGGCTTATTGGTTTTTGGTCGACAGGTAAACTGATCTTCTTGTGTTATGCCGCTTAAAGCTTCCTGGCTAAGCTACTGCTATCATAATTCATTCGGTATGAATTAAACATGAGCCATGCATTCCTGCGATGGCTTTTTGCTTAAATTATTTGTCTATTGATGATTAGACCCCTCTCCAATTAAGCCATATTACTTTTTATTTTACTCTTGTAGCAAGGTTGTTTGAGAGTTTATAA